CTTTCTTTCTCTCTCTCTCTCTCTCTCTCTCTCTCTCTCGCTCTCGCTCTCTCTCTCTTTTTCTCTCTTACTCTTTCGCTCTCTCTTTCTCTCTCTCTCTCTCTCTCTTTCTCTCTTTCTCTCGCGTTATCTCTCTCTCCCTCTGTCTCTCTTCCTCGCTATCTCGCTCCCTTGCTGTCTCTCTCTTTATCTCACTTTCTCTCCATCTCTTCCTCGCTGTCTCTCGACGCCGCATACGCCACCAGCCGAATCACAGCCAAATCGCCCCCACCTCCACGTTCGCGATCAGCCCATACTTATGAAAACACCTGGCAACGGCTACGTATGGACGGTTTTTATAGCGCTTAGCTCGTTCACGCTACAGCGCGCATATACTAAATATAACCGGCAGCCTGTCGTCATACTTTGAAGTTACGCCAGTGTCCGTTAGTCTTTTGTGGCGCCACGTGTTAAATCGGTAGCCGTTCAACTATATCTAGCCTCTTTAAATGGAGCCTATTCATAGCACTCGATCATCCGAGTGTGATCATTGCTTTCGCCACGTGTCAGCTTCAAAGGATCCCTTTACGTTTAGCTTCTTTGTTTCTGTCCTTCAATATTGGAATTCCTCTCCTTATTCTTTAGTTACATGCAATTTTGAAGCGTTTTCTATTGCGATCTACAGTGTTGATCTGTCTATTTGATTAACTTTTTAAATATCTGTCCTCGATATAGTCCCTTGGACTTTGAAGACTAAACTTTATGAGGTTTTGAGGTTACATTTAGGGTTAGGAATAGTACTGTAACTTCTATAATAATACTTGTGTCAAAATGACAATAATTCTTTTGCTAGATAAGTTATTGTTGCTAGTATTCATAGTATACTAACATCACTGCATAGTCACTAGGATATTTATTTGCTCACATTGCATTCATTAATAAGAGGGACAGCGATAAGTATAATTCAGGTAATTCCAGATGATACATTGATATAATGTTAAGATAGCGACATAATAAGAGCCTTAAAAAGGGTGTGTAAGTTTGTGAGTGTTTGCATTGCATTTATAATTTTATAGTTGTGGCTCAATCGTAGGACCTCTGTACATACTTGCTATCATTATCATTATACGTTATCACAATATTCCAAACCCTAATCTTTAACACTAACTATACCCTATTCTGACTTCAACATGGTTCAAGTGTCCTAAAGTAAGTTGGATGTATGTAAAGAAAAGTAAGTCAGTAAAGTGAATGGGTTGATTGCAATGTGCAATATATCACGTTTTCTGTGGAAAGTTGCTGACTCTCATGTTTTACCAACAGTACAGTCTCTATTGTCAAGAGTTTTTACACAAATGTGGTTTTAGGCAAACTTGCTGTCATGTCCGTTAAATATGCGTAAACCAGAAAGAGATTGCAGAAACAGTGCATGTCTTGAAATGTAAAGAAAGATGCCAACTCAAAAAAACTTAGCAACCTTTGACTAGCCTTTTGTCTCATGCCTGCACTTATAGATTTTTATAGTAAATATATGAAATTGGTCTAACCAGCTAATACCAACTAACGTCACATTGTGGACACTCATTCAGACCATTATATCTGGTATGAGAAGATGTACATATTCTGAGTGTTAAATTGCATGAGTGCAGTCAGAAGTATACATGTAGACTAAAACAATGTAATTTCACAGGGTTCTGGGATCATCAAAGCTGGTTTTGCAGGCGATCAGATTCCAAAGATCAATTTCCCAAATTAGTAAGTATATTTCGGTTCACTAAAGGTCACTAACTTTAATTTTTTCCTTATCATTAGAAGTATTAATTAGATTATGATTAGAACAAGCAATTGGCAATCATGATTAATACCTTGTTTTTTAAGCGTAACTTTAATGTTTTGTACTATACTTACAAGGTCTTGGCTATAATATGCCAATATATATATTGGCAGTGAATTTTCCCAGTGTTCCTTAAATTAACAATGTGTTTACAGCATCGGAAGGCCGAAGCATGTACGAGTGATGGCGGGGGCTCTTGAAGGGGACATGTTCATTGGACCTAAAGCAGAGGTATATATGAATCGAATTATGCACTTAATTATAGAATTCCATAGAACTAGTAAGCATTAGGCTTTTGTACATAAAAGTTCAATTGGAATTCAGTAACGTTCATTATGTTGCTGTATTTATAGGAACATAGAGGACTTCTGAACCTTAGATACCCAATGGAACATGGTATAGTAACAGACTGGAATGATATGGAAAGAATATGGCAATATATTTACTCAAAAGACCAATTACAAACATTTCCGGAAGAGGTAAGTAAATGTGTTCTGTTATCTTTCTCCCCATGCAAGAATAGGTAGTTATTGACACATTAGTGATATAATGGAATATTGCAGTTTAGTGCTCTTCATCCCTCACTGTATGATGATAAATGCTTGAATGTTGATGTATAGTGAAATTACATTATTGATTACACATCATTCTTTGGTTTTGCTTTGCAGCATCCTGTTCTACTAACAGAAGCACCACTGAATCCAAGGAAAAATCGCGAAAAGGCAGCCGAAATCTTTTTTGAAACGTTCAATGTTCCAGCCTTGTTCATCTCCATGCAGGCTGTACTTAGTTTGTGAGTACTTGTAGAGTATGCACAATGCCCATTATGATAGCTCAAAGAAGCTATTCTATTGTAAATCACTCTATGTTGCTGGTTTGATTTATTTAAAACTCATCAACTAGATAAACCTGCAATTAGTTGTTGTCTCTGTTGGAGAATTGTTTGCTGTAACTGGATTAAACTGGAATTTATTAGTGATGTTAACACATATATGAACTAGATTGTTACACTGATGCTTTTAAACTCAGATAACACATATAGTTTCGAAAATATTTTAAGTTGATTCTTATTGAGAGACTGTTACATGATTGAACTGGCATGCACATGAACTAATTGGAGTTAGGACCATACTTGGTTGTCACGTGTAGTTTTGTAAGAAATTGCTCGTTTTCATACAGAAATTGTGTAGCACGTTTGAACTGGACCATTACAGATATGCAACCGGTCGTACGACAGGAGTAGTGCTTGATTCAGGTGATGGAGTGACGCACGCAGTTCCTATCTATGAGGGCTTCGCTATGCCAAACAGCATCATGCGCACGGATATCGCTGGCCGGGACGTCACACGGTACCTCAGGCTGCTCCTGCGAAAAGAGGGCTACAACTTCCACACATCTGCTGAGTTGGAGATAGTCAGGACTATAAAGGAGGTATTGTATCAGTTAGGAAGCAGATTTAGGTTTCACTCAATTGAAATCTGCAAGAACAGGCAGTTGTAGTGGGTTATTATGATTGATTATTTAACAAGTGGTCATAGAAAATATCAGACTGCTTTAGGCAGTTAGGTGCTGTAAATATTATTGTCAGGGAGGCCAGTCATACTGAAAGAACACCTTGAATTGATATGTTTAAAAGTACCTAAATCTGTTCTACTGAGTTAAGTAAAGTGAAAGGAATGAAACTCTAAAGTAAGATGAAGTTAAAAGACAGTGTTACAATGTTTTTCAGAGGTCATGTTACGTGTCCATCAACCCACAGAGAGAGGAAACTGTGGACACAGAGAAAGCAACATATCTCCTGCCAGATGGAAACTCTCTAGATGTGAGCATCTATGTAACTGGCAAAGCCTGCATTGACTAAATTTCGTTTTTAGCTCGCCTTGACATCGTCAATATGAGCTATTGCCATGGGGTGTCATCTGTCGTACGTCCGTCCGTCCGTCAACATTTGGTTACGACCAACGATAACTCAAGAACCGTTTGACCACATGTTTCAAATTGCATATAGTTGTTACTCTATGGGAGAGGTTTGAACGTCTTATTTTGGAGCACGCCAGTCTCGACCTACATTCGAGCCACGTCCACTTTTTGGCAAAAATGGAAATGGCGCATAAGTCAGTTCAGGTTCAATGGATTTTGCTCATTTCTGGTATGTGAATGAATGAGGACTGGCCCCAAAACATATCACATGGGTTCTGATATTTTTTTTAAATTAGGTAGATTTTGGCAATTTCACTATGCATTTCAGTGTCTGCCTAGGTCAACGATAACTCAAGAACCGTTTGACCACATGTTTCAAATTGCATGCAGTTGTTACTCCTATGGGAGAGGTTTGAACGTCCTATTTTGGAGCACGCCAGTCGACCTACTTTCGAGCCACGTCCACTTTTTGGCAAAAATGGAAATGACCATAAGTCAATTCAGGTTCAACGGATTTTGCTCATTTCTAGTATGTGAATAAATAAGGACTGGCCCCAAAACATATCACACAGGTTTGATATTTTTTTTAAATTATGCAAATGAGGTAGATTTTGGCAATTTCACTATGCATTTCAGTGTCTGCCTACGGTCAACGATAATTCAAGAACCGTTTGACCCACATATTTCAAATTGAATACAGTTGTTACTCGTATGGGAGAGATTTGAACTTCCTATTTTGGAGCACGCCAGTCGACCTACTTTCGAACCACGCCCACTTTTTGGTAAAAATGAAAATGCCCATCTAAATTCATTTGATTATGTTAAATTTTGGTATGTGAATGTGTAAGGCTAGCCCCAAAACAGTTGTTACTCCTATGGGAGAGATGACTACGTCCTATTACGTTTATTTTGTCTAACTGGTCAACAACGCTACAATCATACCTATATACGTATAATATCGTGTTTTAGATTCTTCGTTACAGTAATTTGACTGGAATATTTTATTGTTTTTATTTGCACGATATTCGAAAACCCAAATGGCCATCATTTAGGCGTAGCGCTATCTCTCGTCAAGATTTCAGATTTTCAGATCTGAAACATTTATTTTTGCATCAAAACTTAAGCACATATCATTATCAAGAGTATATAATGGGAGATATCAGGAGTCTATCAATTCTATTGATAGACTCCTGGAGATATGCTATATAATGGGAGTTCTCACATATATACTCTTGCTTTATATATCCCCCCCTCCCTCTTCTATCACACCCAAGGTGAGCTACAGTGTCATTGACACTTTCATTAATGTTATATAAACCTCTAGTCATTGCACTTCAAAGCATGTAGTGCTAGAACAGTCTGTTCTGGGAACAACTGTTCTGAACAGGCTAGCATTTTACGTGAAACTGAATAATACATTGAATTTAGTTTATTCAACACACTGCTGCCATGTGCTATCCCCGCTGAAAATTTAACTGTATTTATAAACATGTCCCTACGCAGATAACATCGAGTCATCTTCTCTATTCATTATGGACGGTGAACTTACAAAATAAGTGTAATGCTATAAATGGATTTATTTAACATGTAACCTGGTGAATTACAAAATGTGAGGCTAAGAAAAGGTTTGAAATTTTACAGTCTGGAAGGATAGCATCATAACTGCTATTCTTATGATATCATCGTCCTCTCCCATGCCACGTAAGTGTGTCCACATTGCCACCTATCATACATGTTGCGTACCGCATCTTCGATGGACTACGCCCCTAACATCATCGATGTTTTAGATTGGACCTGCACGATTCAGAGCCCCGGAGTTGCTCTTCCGGCCCGACCTCATCGGCGAAGAGTTTGAGGGGATTCACGAGGTGCTCACCTACGCCGTGATGAAGTCGGACATGGATCTGCGACGTGTGCTCTACTTCAACATCGTACTCTCCGGTGGTTCCACGCTCTTCAAAGGTAAGATGCACGATTAAACAAATCTGACTAGGGTGCGTGATTAATCTAGCGGAAGAAAAAGCGACGTTGTTGATATTGCATGATTTACAACTGTTTTTTTGTGCATACAGTTTTTTGAAATATCGCACAACTTCATGACATATTTGTTTATATGGTGCAGTGAAGTCATAGCATGTAATATTTTGGCAAAATACATTCGATTTTGTAGCAGAATATTCACTAGGTTTCCACCTATGTGTATCAACCACATACAAGCATACATGATGTACAAAAAGGTTAGATTGAAGACATGCTAGAATGAAACGTACTACACTATTGTTTACATGTAAAAATTCAGCAACCCTATTCCTATATTGCACATCTGCAATGAACGTATTATTTTAATTTGGGTGGGAATTATATGTGATTTTGGCTGTAGCATGTCTGTAACAGCAACTGCAGTGACAGCTGGCATGTCCACGTGGCAGCAAGTGTGTCATTATGCGGTGATAAATTAACCATACATGGGTATTCCGAGTCCTGTTCTGGTACAGCATACATATGTGAACTCCAGCATATATGTGGCAGAAAGTTACATTCCCATCCTTGGCTTCACCAAGGATAGAATTACAATGTTTGTGCCAGTTGCATTGATGTTTGCAAAAGTGTTTTTCTTGATTTTTTATTGCTTTCAGGTTTTGGTGATAGATTATTAGGTGAAGTAAAAAAACTAGCCCCTAAAGAAATGAAGATAAAGGTAAGTCTTTCATTATAGTTGTGATGGTTTAACTGTGCAGAGCAGAGATTGTTAATTTATTGAAAACATGCACTTTCAGCCTGCGCTGCCTGCGCTGAAAACAGCACTGCCCAGAATTATGTAGACACTCAAAAAGTTAGCAATGTATATTGAGTGGAGTGAATTTCCTAAAATAAGGTTTCGTTCAGAGTATGCATTATGTTATTAGTATAACTATAGGTGAATGCGATGCTAAAATCAAATTATGATTTGTAATTTGTAAAAGCAATGTGTGAATGCATAAATAGTATACCTACACACAGTAGGCACATGTAAGAGCATTATGCATACATAAATGCAGTATGTGTCTGTATTACAGGTAAAGACTTTGGTTAGAGAAATTTGACCAGCTAAAGTAGTTTATATTTTTGTTGTTCCTGTAAATTTTGACTGGCTGTTAATTAAGCAGCAAAACCAAAAACTGGATGTTGTTCACAAAATTATTAAATTATTGAGTACTAAACAAAATTTGACATTAGTTGTATTGTTTAAAAATGCTCAGATCTCACATTTAGAACTTATAGTACAAGTACATTGCTGTTAGATTTTAACACAGCAAAAATGATAAATAATGAACGATTGTAAAGCAGTAATTGGACATCAAGAATTTTAGTATGGAGCAAATAGTTAAACTTTATTTAGTAAAATCTTAACAATTTCCAGCCTTTAGCATTCAAGAGATACTTCTTTTGTCCACCATAGGGCCCCTACATGTGAAATTACATGTGACGATTATACATTTAAAAACCAATGTAAAAAAACAGTATTGTGTGTGAATATTTACAGTGTCGAACGTATCAGTGTACGGTATTATGTGTGCATTTGTTTATTGCTAAACACCGACAGTGTTGCCACCCGCTGTGATGCGGGCGACATAAATCGTGTAGTGTGCCGGGAGCTTAATTATTTTTGCGGCTTGCAGATCTCGGCACCGCAAGAGCGGTTGTACTCGACATGGCTGGGCGGCTCCATCCTCGCATCCCTCGACACCTTCAAGAAGATGTGGATCTCGAAGCGCGAGTACGAGGAGAGCGGCGTGCGTGCGGTGCATCGCAAGACGTTCTAGTGTTGGTCTCGTGGCTGCGTCAAGCTCCCATAACATCCTACACACTGTGGTGGCCCAGTGCACGCGTCTGTTGTCATTATGAACTCGATTTACGGCCTACATGCGCTCGCTGTCGTCGCGAGTGGTTGGCCCATGTGTACAGCCCAATTTATTTAATTTTTCTGTACGTTCCTGCATGTTTCTACACGGTTACACTGCGTGCATGAGAAATGCTCTGTAGAAAACGTTTAGCAGTTGCAGTGAGCCAGCTAGCTAGGGTAGCAGAATAACCACTGTTCGAGGATCGTAAGTCCTAGTGGTAGCCCTGTATAAAATGTGATGAGTGAGCGACAGTGGTGAGTTTATTACGTTAGCTGGTGAAGAATTTAAATAATAGAAATTGAAGTACAAACATATTTCGTAACCTAGTCATTTGGTCTGATTAACACATTTATGTAAACAAGCCAGTCAGAGGCATGCAGTATGAATTCATAAGTTCATATGATACCGGTTGGAAGTGGCTGTAGCTTTCATTGGTGTCTAAAATAATTACTTCTGCATCCCACGTCTTAGTTTTGACTTTAAGACACCAACAAGTAGCCCTGCATATATATAATTGAATATATATATATATACCTTCGTGGTGGAGGCTGGTGATGCATGCTGCAGTGACTTGAATAAATGCTGAAATATGAATTGGCCCTTGATAATATTTCAGTTGCATTATATTCATTTATGCAATCTCATAAATATATATCGTGTACATTGTGAGTATATACAGTCAGATTATCAAGCATAAAAATCTGTTTAGGAATCTAATGGGCTGTGTGTAACTCCCGACCCATAATGAGAACCCCACACGACCCAGTAAAGAAAAAATCGCACAGTGGCCAAATGATATGCCTCCCCCCCCCCAGAAGATGCAAGGTTATACATTATGTATGCTTTGCGACAGGAACACATTCGGGCTATAACTCCTAATATAATTGCTATTATCTGATAGTACGTGGTCATACGCGTCAGCTGTAGTGCGATCCACTGGACCACCATTTGCTAATGCAATGGAAACTGCAGCAAGTGCAGTGATAGGTGATTGGTCATACTCTAGTGATATTAGAAGAGTGGGGAAGAGGCATTGACAGTTGTTGAGGAATGGGCATTCAGTAATGTTGGTTTGGTGTTGTAGTGAGGGCTACCGTGACAGTGCGTCGGACAAACGTGGTTTTTCGAAAACACGTTGCTAACATGCATGGTACGAAAGGTGATATGCTTAGCAGGCTCTTCCCGTTTTAAGGTTAAATGGCATTCCCATCATTGAAAGTGTATGCATGAAAAGTTTCGTTCCTATAAACTTGAAAATGCATTTCTCTGTAATTTTCACAACTCAGTATTTACAGGAGTACATTATTATTGGGCTTGTAAGTGACATGTTGAGCATTGATGAAATATAGAAGCATGACACTATTTGTGGCCAGTTTGATGTTATATAAAAAACAGGTACTCCACTACCGTTGGACACTTTCAAGTGCTGTTCAAAATCTCTTTACAAGGTCACACTAAATTGTACCTGCTGTTTTCAGGCTTACGCTCCATTAGGAGTGTTCCCAACTTTGATATCATTAATGATTAATGATTGATAATCCTAACCCTAACATAACCCTAACCATTAATGACATTAAAGTTTGGAACACTCCTAATGGAGTACCGGTATCACCCTGTTTTGAGCTCACTCGCACAAGCAATGGTTATGCTCGTTAACAATAAGCAATGCTTTCTATCCACATCGACTCTTCACTTGAAACCGATTCCATACAATTTGCTTTTCGATGTTAATAGGGTATTAAAATTGTGAAAATGTACAGAAATACCACACGTGGGTTTGAATTTTGAGTTTTCTAAAGGTATTCTATAGAAATGACTACTGTGAAATGTTTCAGTTGAAAACCTAGGTAGCATCGTAGGGAAGAAAGTGCTTGCGTCTGGTACGCTGCATTGCTGTGTGGTATCATGAAGAAACCAAGATGTACAACAGACACTGCATGGGTGATTTTAATACTGTCCCCGAAATATTACAGGAGGACATATTGCTTATAATATACTTTGAGTAATTAAGCTGGTGTAGTATCAATTGAATTTTGTATTTATTTTTAACCTTGCAACGTATACATATACTGGTTGTGCTATAGATTTTGTAATTATTACTCGTGTGACAATGTTACGCATGTACACATGAAAAGATTTTTGAGGGTAAATGTGATGGTTCTCAGGTCAAGACTGAAACTGCATTTGTCAAACTGACAAATCGGTCTCAAATCTAGATTTAAATGGTGACAGATATCTACACGGATACGGCGTGCAACCATCTATATAGCACATTCTTTTAATTTCGTTCATGTGTACATTACGTAAGGGTTTTTTTCTGTCCTATGAACGCACATGATTATCATTATACCAGCAAATTGACAAATATCTTGAGATGCTTAGTAAAAACGCCTTAGAGTAAGAAGTGATCGTGGGTACGTTGTTTGCATAAGTAACCTTTGTTTTCAAATGTTTCACCATTATTCAGATTATGGGATAAAATTTAGGTACCACTATATTTCCGACACGACAATAAGAAAGTCACACCAGCACATTTTGCGTGAGTACCTTCATGTTGTTATCACATCGTGTCAATAACATCATTGTGCAGAGAATCTGTGGAAAACGTGCTCATGAATTTTGTCACAAGTATCTCATGATGTCACTCGTCATCAAGCCACCGTTTGGTCATGTGGAATCATCGGCAATTTATAATAGTAACCCCGGAGCTTGGACCATTGGCGCTTACCAAACTTGCTTATAGTATAGAGTACAAAACTCTGATCATTCGTGAGTTACATGTGTCAGTCGAGTATAATTAAACGTACATATGTATTACCAGGCGTACATAACAGCGAATTTTTCTTAATAATTCTTTATTATGTACTCATGGTGTTGTGTATGTATGTGTGTGTATGTATTGGTATATCCATATTTCCATGCTGAATACACTGGAACATCAAAAATGTTAGTGAATGATCTTTGTCACAGTCCAGCATCATGGGGAAGTGTTCCTCATGCAAATAAATCTTCATTGTAATATTAAAATATTGTTTTTTGTAATGTTAATACACACATAGAAAATATAAACAGATTATCAGGAGTGAATAAAAACAATTTGTTATTATTCACTCCTGATATTATGTATTTTGATTATTGTACACCTGCAATAAAAAACGCTGCCTTTGTTGTGTAACGCTAAGCGCGTGATCAATATAAGGCAATACCTAGAGGTACATGGCAAAGCAGTGTCCACAACATTATCAGCCTCATGGCATAACACATCAGCTGCCAACTCTCTTGCATCAAACAGATTTTGACAATTTCTTTTCATACATATAGATATTCAATATCCTAGTGGCTACAGGTTTTAATAACAAATGTATTGCTACCCTGTTCCATTTATAGCCTGCTCCTGTAGCTGGTCTCTAAGGTCTAACAGAAGGTGGGTTAGAGGAAAGACTTACGGAGATGTTGATGGTTTTGTGAAAGGTTGATGTATGACAGTCTATAATCAGAGCCACTAAAACCAAAGGCAGTTTGAATTTTTAGTAAGTACTGAATTTTAAAATTACTTAAGTTTTTACTTTTACAATAATTTATCATAACCTTTTAATTCTGCTCATAGGGTCTATGTCCCCCAGGGTACTGCCGGAACGTACCCTGGTAACTATTTGATATGGTTAGGGTTAGGAAGTAGGCATAGGCGACTCGATCCCTAGACTCGTTAGTGGAGTAGGCGAGGTACGGTCCGGCATATTAGATAGTACCAGGGTACGTTCCGGTATACCGGACCGTACCCAGGGTACGTTCCGGCAGTACCCTGGGGGACATAGACCCTCTCAGCTTTAATTCTTACCAAATAGGAAGTTTTGTAGGTGGTTAAAATTCATTAAAATTAGTACAATTTTACATTTGATCAAAAAAATGTATTTACCTTTGTCAGTAGTGCTCAAAACAAAAGCAGGCATGTATATATTAATTTATGAATGTTAAACAGATTTAGTATACCAACACATTGTATATAACCAAATTTTTCTTTAGACGAGTACCAATTATTGTGATCTACACACTATATCTTATCTGCACAGGAGTGTAATCGATGGGAAATAAAGAATGGCTATATCACACCTGATCGACTAAACACTTTTCTATGAGATTGAAAATACACTCAAATATCGTTAAAATGGTAACTGAAAGACAGATGTTTTTGAAGTTACACAGTAATAACGTTTCACAAACTGCAATACAAAAAACAATACAAAATTGCATAAAGGCATGAATTTTTGTCCCACTATTTTTTGTGATACCTTTAACCATAGATTACACAACTCTTCCATAAATTCATGAAATTAGTCATGATTGCAATTAGTCGTTATGATTTTGCTTCGGAATGTAATCACTCGTGACTGCCGGTGTGTAAGCAATTTTTACACCGACAACCAGAATCTTCGTGAGAAGTTTGCTGCGCGCTATGTCAAAATATCTGTACGGTTATGTAGATTTACACCCATAGGTTGCTGTGTTACACACAAACGACCTGTAAATGTTGACTTGTGCCGACTGTGGTGGAATTGTTGAAAACTTTACGCCAGCATGACAACAGCTGACTATAATCTAGTTTTAGATGGCATTTAATAATAATCAGGTTTATGGCATACCACCCTTACAGGGCAATTTCGTAAGTAAAACTTGGGCTAGCTGCCTTCCTTAAATTGCAGAATGCAGGGCAAAATGCAGTTGGGTAATTTAGCCATTTTTCTCCAGTGTACTTCTGGAAAGCACACGATTGGTAATAATTATTGTGCGCTATGTGAATACAAGGAAGCCAGAGACGGCATGTCCCAGGACCAGCTATGCAACCACAACCTAAAAAGCTTCCTCTTGTACAGCAGAACTCCCCGATACCTTAAACTTCTCATGCTCACAATCGTAGAAACATTGCTCGTCACACCTTAAAACTATTCTGGTTACCCCCTTAACCTGTTTATTACCATAATTCTTGGATCCGACTATGCTATTTTCTTACAAAAGGCACGCTTTTACTAGTACGAGTCAGCCATAATGAGTACAATCAGAGCTGACCAGCCAGTAAACGGGTGGCTGCCTTCGCCCTTCCCTGTCTCGTCATTGTAATGTTCCCACACGTACCCCGTGAGTTGATACTCCCTGAACACGTTCTCGACCAAGTTCCGCCGCAGCTCCGTGTACATCTCCTTGGCAGTGTCACGATACGGACCGTCGCTATTCGCGTAGAAGTTGAGCGCGCGCACCGCCAGAAAGTTGATGTTTATCCAGATCGAGCCGCGCCAGTACGGCGGGTCGTGCTCCGTGTTTCGCTTCATGTACAGCGGCGCGGTCTTCGCGAGCGAGCGCAGACCGTAACGCGTCCACAGCAGGCTCTCGTTGCGCACGCTGGCGAGCACGCGCTCCAGCTTCGGCGAATCCGGCCGCACGATCTGCAGCAGGAACGGAAACAGGCTCGTGTAGCCGAACGAGTTAACGAACTGCAGGCGCGGCTCCTGCGCGACCGACCGCTGCAGGTCGGGGCGCGGCGGCGGCGGCGCGCCCGGCTGCGCGGGCGGCGCTCGCGGCCGCTTCAGCTTCACGGCGTCCGTGTGCAGGCCGTAGTCGCAGTACGCGGCGTGCTCGTCCGACCAGTGCAGCGCATCGAGGGCCTCGTTGTCGGTGAGGTACGCATACTCCGCCCGGTACACCGCCGCCGGCTCGCCGATCGCCTCGGCGACGTCGGCCATGACGCCCGACGCTAGCGCCATCCAGCAGCGGAGGTCGACGTGGCGCTCGTCGTCGGTCGGATGCGAGGCGCGCGGCGCGTCGTCAATGCCCGACGTCAGCGTCTTCGGGTTGAGCTCGTGCGTCGTCGTCGCGTTGCGTCCGCGCCAGCGGTAGGCGCCGGGCGCGTCGCCGCGCTGCGTCACGTTGAACCAGCCGTACCAGGCCTGCAGGCGCGGGTAGACGCGCCGCAGGTACTCGTAGTCGCGCTCATCGTCGCGGTCAAGCAGGTAGCGCAGCGGCAGGAAGAGCGTCGGCGGGTTCGCGTTCGTGTCGCGCTGCACGACAAACTCGTCCGGCACCTTGCTGCGCGCCTCCGGCCCGAGGATCTGCTCGCGCGGGATCCAGCCGTCCGCGTTCATCAGGTCGAGCCAGTGTCCGAGCACGTCCTTCGTCACGTCGATGTCCCACTGGCTGACGAGCAGGTTGTGGAAGCCCTCGTCCCAGAGGAAGCCGCGCGGGAAGAACGAGCGCGACGGCACGGCCGTGTAGAGCGGCGCCGCCCAGTACGGCACAGGCGCGGCGTTGGCAAGTGACTGCACGAGCGAGGAGCCGTAGAAGAAGCCGATGCCGCCGACGAGGTTGCCGAGCGCGGCCTTCGCGAAGTCGACGTGCTCGGCATCGTAGCCCTTCTCGCGCAGTCGGAACACGCGCTCGAACCGCTCGTCGAACTCGTCGCGATGCTGCCGTAGCTCGTCGTCGTACGTGCGGCCGAGCAGCGGCTCCCTGTCCTCGCGCTCGCCGCTGCCGCCGCCGCCATCGCCCGACGTGTACGTCACCTCCATGACGTGCGGCAGCGGCACGGTCACCTGATGCACGATGAAGTTTGGCTCGGCAGAGCCGCGCGGATCGTTTCCGCCCAGCGCTGTGAAAATGCACGAGAAACCGATCAGAAAACTGCTATACGTACGTTGACGTTTACGTTACTCGTAAACGAACGTTAGGCGTGGAGCAGCTAATTAGATGCACAGAAATATATACAAACTTGTAATGATTTGCTGTGATAGTCTAGACAATTATATGAATTGACATGTTAACCATCAGATGGGTAATATCAGTTTAGATTACAAATTTATTTATATATACTTATATAGATTATATTTTAATTATTATATATTATAAGGCTTTTATATACATGTATGTATAATTTATCTATTTCTCTCATCTCATTAAATGTTCTTCTATGTTCTGACTTAAGCAAGGCAATCTCTCTTACAGACTTGATACAAATTTCAGTTATATGTGAGAAGTGCATGTTAGCAATTGGTGCTCCATAGCCGATAAGCTTTCCTACTCAGAATATTACCTCAGAAATATCAGCTAAATCAACTAGGCCCAACATTATTATGCCTCCATTTGCTTGTCAGTATGAGCAGATAGATTCACATATTTCTATTTCTAGTCTACAAATATGCACGCAATATCGGTATTAGAATAACTATGAACACTTTAATTAGGCCAAAATGTATTTATGTAATCTCTAGTCACCTACCTACGTATTGCTTTCGTTTCTTGTATGGGGCCATTTTGAGTCCACGCATCACTGCACCTTTTAGTACATGTAGGCCCTCGGTAGAAGACAAATAGTAGTTGTACAAAACCTCATGGTTTCTGCTGTTGGTTGGGAACTTGAGCATAAACTGGCCCAACGCATCTGTATATCCCTCTACGGATGTCAGGATGCCACTTTCGATATTAGGCTTTAACCAGCCACTGTTGTCCAACGCAATGTAGAATAAGAGGGACACTGTTGCTGGCTTTGGAGGGGGCTCTCCTTCAGGTGTTCTCCTGTTTCGATACTGTTAACCAAATATGTCAACTTTAAAAATGAAACAGAAATAAAACAATCGCTGCTGAAGTAATAGCTTCCACAAAGACCAATTTTCTGATAGTAGTTAAATGGCTGAAAAGCAAATACCATCAACACAAAAACAAAAGATGCAGGACAAGCAATGGCACTACCTGGTAACATAAATAAACACCAATCATCTGATCATAGAGTTTTAAAATCCTAATATTATTATTATTATAATAAAATCCTTATATTTAATATTTTTAGTGAATATTGCAAAACAAAAATTGGCATGTAAAATAAGTAAACCTGTTAAAGCTGTTTGCTGATTTCAACTATTTCAACTGTTTGCTGTTTGGTACTCTTTATTATATTTCTGCTCACAGTTTACCCATCGTATGTCAGTTACTTACATGGGGTTCGGCTACAATGCGGGCAGTCCAGTCACCACCATGTGACCCACCAGTGCGCTTCACAAAAGACGTTTTGAGTATATAATCCTCATCAACAATTTCCTGAACGCCAAAATTCACACCATCGTGTGCCAGCCACCCATAGCGAGGCAGCCTGTCACCTTGCTCACACCAATGCCTACAATATGTATTAACAAAACACATTATTTGGCTATTCATGCCACAATAAAAAGCAACAAGGCTTTAAAAATCAATTGATCTTTTGTAGGCACACTTGGCCACTTAAATCAAATATGTCCCAGGTATCTCACTGAAGATGTCTATGTATATATAGTCTATCGTTATAATTGAGAGGATAATCTGTTCAAAACTATTGTTAAAAATTGCAACAGATGACACCAACACTATGATTATTATTAATGAGTAAGCATCGTAATCAAGATCCTTCTCAGAACACAAATATATGAGGTTGGTTACACATCTACAACCACTATGCATAAAATCAGCAAAAAAGATATCTAATATCGACAGTCCTGGATAATTTAACATTCTAGCAAAAAAATCAATCTCATCAATATTTTTTTTATTCATTGTGATAAATACTTTAGTAAATTACTACCTTATGGCAAACTCCTCAGCAGATTTAAACTGTGTGAACCACATCAAACCAACAACTGGACTTTGTGGACTTCTAGTCTTCAGGCCAAAATAAGCCTGTGGTCGGTACGTTCCCCAAAACCTGTAACATCAAACAGCTTAGTGTAATTATAAATTCATTCAATACATCATACCATATATACGGTATGCCCTCGACCCAATTATCCATCCTATACAGTTCCGACCCGTTTCATGGGAATAGCAGGATATTTTGCGTACATGTACGTGTGTTGTCTGTTATTAGGATACCATACATCACCTTGCTGGGGAAGAGCTGGCATTTTGTGTGATTACTGTTGGCGAAGACAACCTCGTTATCACTCGAGATTGCCGATGAACATCGTACACACTGAAGGCAGCAATGCCTACCAGCACAGCGATGAAAGACAGCTGCGCAATCACCTGCAAGCGATCATATTTAAACAAAACTTCAAATTTTAATTAATTTACAACTAATAAAGCCTATTACAAGCTGGCATGCTTCGCATGTATTTTTTTATTGTTATGAATCGATGGAGTGGACATTGTATTATGTATCATTTTCACATATTGAATGACACTTATATCAGATGGCTTAGACTGTAGTACAGGTTGTAAGCAGGACACAGCCAAGACAAATAAAGCAATAGTGCACCCAGGTGACTAAAACATGCATAATTGCATTATGCATCATAGAAACATTGAGACAAAAACATAATGTAGACATGATTTCGAAACATATGGTGTCACACACCTTACGTGACAGGAACACTGAGTCGTCGTGATCTCGTGTATCAACTTTGTGTAGTTTCACTGGTTTTCTGTGCACACCTTTTCCTTGGGATTCTTCTTGAATTTTTCGAGCTCTCTTTTCACCGGCCATGGTTTTCTTTTGTGCCATTTTTGTGCCTGTTAACAAAATTTCTCCCCAACAATAAATCGCGTATTATCAGAATTAAAGGGATACTAGACTCTGGGATTTTACTGCATACAACTGTACTTACTGTATAACAAATTGTCTATACCCACACGTACTTGTTACCAGACACCTAATTCAATTGTTATAATTAATTATACATCAACGCTACGAAATTTGAACGGCGCCATTGACACCCGCGACCGTCCTGCCACCCTGAAAAAGTTGCGCATTTCCCAATATATTTTGCACGATACAGACCGAGGGCTAATCACAAAAGTGCAATTATATTTACACCTAAATGATATTTAACTGAACGATGTTTTTTAGGACAAATTTATCCATAATATAACTGAAACTATATGTCGTTTATAAGATATTACAATCCTTTTGCTTTTAAATTAATAAATAAGAAACACCCTCGGTCTGTAGCCCTTGGCTGAAGTCGTTTTGCGCAACTTTTCAGATCGTGCGCTTTGAGTGGCGCCACCGTTGTTGTAATCAAACTGTAGTCGTTAGTTTTAAAACTTAAAAAAAAAATATTTCTAATAGTGATTGAACCATGAAACTTTTTATGTAGCGTAATTTTAACCTAAATTCACTGAAAATAACCCTAGAACCTAGAGTAAAGGATCTCTTTAAATGTTAGCAAGTAACGCCTGGAATAACCCTGTGCCAGAACAGAACAACTGTAGGTCTACTGTACAATCTCAGTTTAATAAGATCTAAATTATCATACATGCAAATTTTCCTGGTTCAATATTCACTAGAAAGTTGAAATAATTCCAAATGTTTTAAAAACTCAGCGATTCACCGATGACTATACATGCACATAGATCTATAACAGGGTTCTCCACATGCCTTTAGGCATGTTAGGGTATGTCAGGTCCAAAATGCCTTCAAACGTTAAAGCCAATTTGCATAATCCCATAAATTTTCCAATGTGCTTTAATTGATATTATATGTTTATGTTCCTGTTTTTCCCCCTGTTTATTAGGAGAACATAAAGTGCCCAACACGACTTTTCTATAAATCAATGTATCAGAATAGGGCACAGCCTAAAGTACATGCATACATGTGTTATTTCTTATGCAATAAGCATCATAATCTAATATTAAATTCTAGATAATTATTGCTCTTTAAATGATGACGAAATTTCCCGCACCACACCTCTCAAAAAGCGGTAGTAGCTGTAGTAGCTTACTACAAATAGATATAGTAGCTGGGACAACGACTAGGTAAAGTCTGATTACAATTTGGCTAGAAGAATCTATCCAGAAGGTATGGAACGTGCATGTTTATACTTCTACTGCTGATAAAATGGCTGTACTGGATCATAATTAGATACCCAGATTCAATTTTAAGCTGGGTGTAGCTTTTGGTATATATTCGGTCTCCTGCTATTAGGCCAAAACAAAATATGTGTGGTTACCGTTACATGCCGAAAAAAATAGGGTAGTTAGGTAGGGAAAACATTTTATTTTCTTGAAATATTTTATTTACGAACCATGTCCGAAGGATGTGCGTTGTGCCTTTTGAAGCAGGAAATGTCCAATTCATTTTATTTTAAATTTTTTTTTTACTTTAAAGAAAATTGACAATAAAATGTTTAGGGTCGCTGGGAATAAATAGGGTCGGTCGGGAAACCGTAACCACACCTACATTTTGTTTTGGCCTCAGTGTAAATATTCTTCTTCTTTTACTATTACAACTGCTCAATATAAATTTTAATATTTAATGCTATTGGCGGTGGTGTTGTTTTTCCATCATTGCTGTCTGCTGCATGACGTAATGGCTATTGCCAAGTTGAACATGCATAGCCTACCCATGCTGTTATTGCTAAATCAGTAATTGAGCCCGGATGGGTATTTTGTGTTTGTACGCAGTGTCGGCGATTTCATTGCCTGGCCTGGTTTGGACTCGTTGGATGTGAGATCAAATTTTGCAGTCTGTATGGGTATAGCCAAATGGGGAATAAGATACTGGCCTGGGGTATAAGATAACTACCAACGAAAGCACTCACATTCAATTTGCCTAGGCCAAGCCGTAAGCCTAAGCCTAATTGTGAGTATTATTAGCCAGTGCAGTTGAGTAGTAGTACTACTAGTGCTCATAGGGTCTATGTCTCCCAGGGTACTATTGGAGGGTACCCTGGTAACTATCTGATATGGTTAGGGTTAGAGTTAGGGTTAGGGTTAGGGAGTGGGCGTAGGCGACTCCCTAGACTCATTAGTGGAGTAGGCGAGGTACGGTCCGGCATATTAGTGTAGCGGCCGAAGCCGAAAAAGGGCTCTATTTAAGGAGATACCCCTACCGGAGGTATAACAAGCTGGGAATGGTCTCATTTTAACCGTCTGGATCCCTAGTTTATGAAAAGCCATGTTGTAGTTGCAGCAACCTTGGCCAACATGCCGAATTAACCCCTTTTTTACGGTAAAATCTGAAAAAATGACATTTTCAGTTACTTGATTATTTTATGAAATCAGCCCCATTATATTTTATAATTGATGGTTATATCAATGTATTTCAATGAAATAGATATGTAGCAATGTATTTGAGGCAGTTTTATGCTGCTAAGGGGGTTAAGGGGCCAAAATTATACCCAAAATTTGGCATTTTTTGG